TCGCGAAATATGCTGTGCGTCGTATGAGTCTGGATGTCCAAAGTACTGGGGTGAGCATCAACTTACGGCCTGTCTGAATGTAGCAGTCGTCCCATTTCTTTCGGGCTTCTTCTATATCCTCAGGTGATGCATCCATGGACCATGGTATCATGGCACTTCTCCGCTGGAGCGGGTTGATCCATTTCAACCAGCCTTCTGTTTCCTCGTCGTCGATTGTCAGGCTGTATTTGTATATCCAACCTTCCTCTTTAACGACATCCCAGCCAAATTTGTCTTTGGCTTGGTTGGCACGATCTTCGTTAGTGGTATAGCCGCCGAGTTCTCTCCCATTCCATAGGCAGCATCTCATCTTCCACCGCTCGTTTACCAACGCAAGAGCGGGGAACCTTTTGGCGTCCTCCAATCTCTCACTGGACACATCGCCCGAGTCTACAGCGGCTTGTAAGTGAGCCAAAGCTTCTTTTTGCTTTTGCTTCTCCTCTTGCGTTATAAGAGCTGCTTGACTGGACATCTCGAATCGATCGTAATGTGTGCTGTTCGGATAGTGTTTGTAAAATGATGGAGGCTTCTTTTCTTGTAGGCTTGTAGGGAAACTTCGATCGGAGAACTGCTGAGCCACCTTTATACTTGAAGTTGTCAAGAGTCATGATACGGTGACCGTACTGAGTGAATGCCATCAATGAGTCGCGGCCCCAAGATGCGAGAGTGAACCGCCCGTATTGCCGAAAGGTGACACCAACACACTACATCGGCCACGTAACACCTAATGCGCTTATCAGCGATGACTGGTCAAGCGCACATGAGGGGTTCTTGAGTCAAAACTCTGAACCCTGACGCGTGATTTCCCTTGCATGGTATGTGTAATCGCGTGTGTGAGGAGCGCATCTAGACGAGGGCGCATGTTGGGGGTCGAGAGCGGCACGTTCGACGTAGTCAAGCACTCGTTCATCTTAGCCGCACCCTCACTCTTCTTTCCCGACATCGCCCCTAGCCCATTCAGGCCCCTGCCCTTCCTCTTGATCTTTCGCCAACTTCTTCTCAAGCTCCAGCCTCGCTTTCTCGCCAAACTTCTTTTCCCACTCCTTGTCTCGCTCTTTCTGCGGCGCGGCGAACTGCGTACTCAGACCACCTCGACTCTTGACTTGCATCTTCTTCTCCGCAGCCTCGTTCTGCTTCAACTGCTCCTCCGCGCTCTGTATCCTGCGCTTGAGACTGATCTCAAACATGTCTCTTCCTTTGTGCCTCCCCTTGAGCCCGTTGTCGTCCTTGTCGAAGTATACCGCCCAGCGCAGCCCTTCCTTGCCCCACGGTGTGTCAGGGTCTTCGTCGGCGCCGTCCCATTCGTCGATGGCCATGAAGCCCTCCCAGCCTTCGAATGTGAGGTGCGTCTCGTCTTCAGTCCAGTCCCAAACACCCACGTGATGCATGATGCTGCCGGTGCGGTTCGAGTAGCGCAGCTCGTACGTCTTCTTGTCGCAGTAAACCCAGTTCAGCATTGGCGGGTCGTCGCTGATTGTGGTAACCAATCCCCTCTCTGGTGGACTCCTATCTTCATCAGGGTATGCGATGTAAAAGCCAGCAAATGCATGCAGAGGCTCCTTCCCTTCTCCATCTATCCCCTCCGGCCACATGGGCTTGTTATCTTCATCTCTCGGCACGACCCAGACTTTGTCGTGGCGCACGACGAGGATGCCATTGTCGATTTCTTCTTTCGCGATCGGATCGGGGTCGTCGCAGGCTACGAGGCAGTTAAACTTCCACATGCGCGACTCGTTGGCGGCTTCTTCGTTCTGCTTCTTTTGGTGCTCGACACCTTGCGCGACGCCAGTGACGACGGGGATGGCGACCACGCAGCCGCCGAGGAAGATGCTTAGGGGAAGCGCCATATCGGATTATGCGGTCGAGGGGAGTGTTATCGGGTTTAGGGCCGTGGCATCGCGGGAGGTCGGAAGGCTGCTGTCTGGTGTGCTTCAGTCGACGGTGGGATGCGAAATCGCGTTGCGTCATGATCGACAGGGAGCCTTCCCCGATAGAGACTAGTAATCTACCCGTCGCTGCCACGGTGCAACCAAACTCACGGAACGACACCCTCTCAACTTTATGTAACCTCCACGGTTAGCACCGTTTGTGTCTTTCATTTCCAAATCAACCCGTGTTTTTGGCGTCTACGCAGTGTACACGCGCCTCACGAGACCGCCATGGCTAACTCCAGCTTGCGGTTGGCTCAAATGCAGAAAGGCCACACATGCTAGTCGCTTGTTGACCAAAGGAGATTCATGATTAGAACTATGGTACGTCCTCGTTGTTGCGTTGTGTTCATTGGCTATGACAGTAAATGCAGCGAGTCTGGTTGGTCGGCTGCGCCCACTCATCCAGCCGACCAGAGTTCAGGATGGATAGTCGCGTAGAGTCAGAGGTCCAGATTGTACCATGGAGTGAACCGTAGATTCTGGTAGGTTTGCTGCTCATATATAATATGTACTTGTCTCTTGTAAACTTCATATTCTCATCTCATCCCATCAACATCTTCTCCAACAAGATGTTTTGTTACCTCCTAGCAAACGTCGCCGACACATTTTGCATGCACCCAGACCACCTGGGTGAAGATTCCACTCCGCGATATACACCGTCATCGTATTCGGCTCTGAAACATCGCAAATCATCCAAGAAGCCTGTTCGAACCGGCCGTCCACCACAGCGGAGTGTCCCTAGAACTGTCTTCCGAGCGAGAAGCCCATCGCCATGCCCATTCACCCACCAGCCACTAGCGCGAGAATTGGAGCAGTTCCCGGCATACGAAGAAGACGAAGACGACTGGGAAGAGTGGAAGCGGAATAATGATCAGGTCACAGTCAATGATCATAACATCGGCCACTGCATTCGACACTGCGAGCGTCGCATATGCCGCGACATCATTTTCAAAAATCAGAAGCGCAACATCGAGCCCAAAGCATGCAGATGTTGCAGGCAACTTCCCATCCTCGAAGACACCAATTCTAAACAAGAAAGGGTATCGCGTCTTCGTCTCCAGGATATCCTGACCGCCCGAAGAGCATACGAGATGACCGGTCATAACGAGACGATTACCCTGAAACTAGACTCCGCCACCTCCCTCGTCAAAAAGATGCGAAGCATGGGATATCTTGATGTTACAAAATATCTCCGCGGATCCAAACACTTCACAAGAAGCACTACACTTTACCCCTCGCAATACCTCGCCGCCACCCGCGCAGCTAACATCCTCATCTCCAAACTCCTCAACTATCTATCCATCACGCTATCGCCCCTTGAGAACCAAACCCGCACTCTTACCATCGCGGATCTGGTAAAAGAGATGACTGAAGTCATGCGATTGGACATCTTCTGGTGGGTATCGGAATGGTGTTTCCGCAACCAGGTTGAAAGAAGCGATAATGCCGCGGAGAGAGCATGGAAGTTGAAAGGGTGCTTTGGCTTGGCGAGAAGGACTTGGATTAAGGGGACGATGAGTAGGGGAGTTGAGGTGTTGTTTGAGAGGATGGAAGGGATTGTAGAGATGGTTGTTGCGGTGTTGTTGTGGTGGGATGGAGAGATGATGACGGAGAGAATGAAGAAGACCTGGTGGGAGTTTGAGAGCTGTGGGAGTGAGGAAAGCAGCGAGAGTGGAGAGAGTAGCGACAGTGAGGAGAGCTGCGATTTTACCTGGGATTAGTGTACTTGATGTCTCGTGCGCCTGTCAGTATCATCACAAGCAATGAAGAGTGAAAGCTTCCGTGTGCATCCACCGCCATCAATCCACGATTTGGCCACCCAAAACACAGCGCTCAATGTACACTTCATATGCGCACAATGTCCCTTCTCGGACAACCAAAACCATCTCAACCAAAACCATTGTATTTCACTCCCTCTCCCAAACAAACACCAATCAAGCACCCATTCACCCGCAATCATGAAGTTCACAGAAACCGACTTCCTGTCCGCATCCCCAACACCGCCCCCACCTCCACGCTCGCAACTCCGCATCAAAATCCCGTCCTACAGCCTACGTCTTCCCGTCGCACCTCCATCACCTCTCTTCGCCGGTATAAACGAAGACACAAACACCCACCGCTTCCCCGCCTTTCAAGACGTCCTCAACATACGCAAGAGCGTGCCGCCACCAGAACCGCACTGTACACTCCATTGCAACCACGGAGTCTGTGTGAAACAGATGGTCGAAGAGTTTGGTAGCCCGTTATGTCAATGTGTTTTAGACGAGGAAGATGAGTGGAGTGTGGAGTGGTACCGACCTGCTATGGAACTTGAAGAACTGGACTTGATGTCCATTGCTCAGAATACTGAGAAGTTTAGTCAGGCGCAGGAGATTGATATCTATATCGAGGACGCGATGAGGGTAGTCGCGTATCTGGAACCGCGCGCTTTGGCTCGTGCGATGGACAACGGGTATCTGAGACGCGCTATGCTGGCTGGTTTCGGGCAGGATGAAGAGGTCACGACGCGCGATGCGGTTCATCGATTCTTCTATTTGATGAGGGTATACTTCGATCGTACAGTCCATGCACCAGGTCACCGCGTCGTCACGATTGAGCAGCTGCGATGCGAGTTGGATGTGTATGTTTGGACGTTGCTTGATGAGTGGGTCATGAAGCATTGCGACCGAAAGACGCAGCGTTTGTTACTGGAGCATAACGGCCCGGAGTGCATTTTGGCAGCCACGTTTGGTGCTCCGGCGGAGGTGCTGGAGCTGTGGTATAAGTGTGTTGAAGACATTGTTGGGGTACTGATATGGCGGGATGAGGAGGTTAGGTGGCGGAGACTGGAAGGTGTGATTGGGTTTTGTGTTGTGTTGATCATGCTCTTCTTATTAGTCAGTATTTTGCTTTGGGGAAGTTTGGTGTCGCATGTCTAGTGGCGGTAAGGCCGAGTCAAAGAGGAGAGTTCTTGGTATCAGCATTTAGTTATGAGGGTTCTACACCAAACCGCACTTTGGAGGCCGATACGATTGCGGCGTATCATCCCATTCAAGTCAAATTCATGAGCTCATCTTTCCAGGTACTCAGCATGGGGCAGATCGCTATCTGCATGTGCGTATGCTGGAACGAGTAGGCCTTCATCAGCCCAATAAAATGCAAACACGCAGCAATCACCACAGCGATGTGGAAGATCTGGTGCGAGGAGAGCCACAGGTCAAATTTGCCTTGCTTCCAACACTCTGGGAATTGCATCTGTCTTCGGTTAGTCCAGCTATCGTTGAGCGTTGTAAGGCACGACTACATACCATAAAGGGACCCAGACTAGCCAGGCAGACGAAGCCGCAAGCCAACCCCCATCGTAAGCCTGCCATTTCGTCCATTCGTTCCCAACCATACAATTGAATACCCCTCCACAGCGGAAAAATACCAGCGGCGGCAAAAGAGACGAAAAGCGGAACTACAAGGGCTTGTGCCCAAGACTTGGAAGCCAGAGGCGAAGCGAAGAAGAGCAGCATGACAGCGCCAAAAGCCGTGAACTATATTTCATGTCAGCAGCTTCCAACCCATGTCGTAGCATCAACTCAACTTACAATAAGCATATAGGTGCGCATGAGCTCTACCTCGCAGGTGAACGTATAGTATAGCGTCGCAATCAAACTGCCCCAGATAAGACACGTGATGCCCGCAAAATCCAACTGCTTGCCAGCCGTCGCCACAGATTCTGAATGGTCGAGGACGATATGGTACGTGACGGAGAACGACATGCACAGTACCACACCGCCGAGGAATGCAGACAATGCCAGTAAATCACCGTTGCGTGGGGAGGGGAACCACTGTTTTGGGCCGCCTAGTTGCGGTAGGTTGTAGGTGGTGAGAAACAAAACAATGACTAAGAAGAGTAGGTGGGTGTAGATGTTTCCGGTCTCGTTATGGAGGTATGTGAGGCTTTTGATGGATTGGCGGTATGAGTTGCGGGCGGAACGGTATTTGGTGACGATGTATTGGTTTTCTTGGCGCCATTCTGGTAATTGTCCGTAGTTGACGAGCGGATTCTTGATGGAAGGATCGTGCTTTTGCCCTACAGCGGTATTTTGTGGTTTTAATGGCATCTTCTCGTTTTGATTGCGCATCTTGTGCTTGGTGATAGTAATCTGGGCGATGTACTGCTGCAACTTCGAGCAGTCGTGGCTATGATAACTGATATACCCACATCTTCTCGCAGATGACGTCTGCCACGATTGTGCTAAAACAGGTACAACAATTGGCGTCGCCTTGACTAAACGTTGACAGCTTCTTGGAGTGTACTCCGGAGTAATGGTAGCACGCTTCGACTTGTAGTCGCATTTGAAGGCGAAGTAGCCGGCTGCTCGGCAGTCTTAGGTTTGCTTAGCTTAATGTTCGACTGGTAGACTACCATTAGGCAAAATCTGGGGATGTAGTTTACTTGGCGCACGATTAGGCCTCTGGAAACCGTTGGGCGGGAATCCGTGGCGTTGCCGAAACTCCGTCATTCCAAGACTTTGGAAGTCTAGAACATGATTCTCGACGTATTGACTGATCTTCGGGTGGAGGACTGTGTGCTTGCTGGACCCCGAAACCGACTTTCACCTGGTTGAGTTGTGAGGATACGTCTCCATATGATGTTGCCACGCCACCAAGTCCAAAAGTATCAGTACCTCGCCGAGTTTGTATTGCTAGACCCTGTCGAAAGAGCGTGCCGTAGAGCTTTCATCTGCTCGCTGTGGCGTCGATAAATCAGCTGCCAAGACGTCTGTTCAGCTTCGTCCATCGTTCCCGATAACCAAAGCACATCCTCTCTCACTGGGGGCCTGTCTGTAACCATGGAGATGTCTATGTATTGATTCAAAAACTCCAAATCCATCCACTCATCTGTCAAAACGTACTTATAGTGCCATTCGAGAAGTAATGACGCACGACTGTAGTGTCCATGCCAGTCCGCACTTTGCATCATAGTGTGCTTGTCTAATAGTAGGTCGAACTTGGGGGTTGCAGCTACTCTGCTCCATACCGTCCTGATATGATTTGGGTCCTTACTGCTATGATATAATTCTTGTGGGTCCTGGAATTCGATACCCTTCTGCACTTTCATCACCTCTGCGTTCCAGTGATTCAGAAGGTCAACAGTATAATTCTGAAGTGTGTCGAGGAGCTGAAAGAGACGGATGCCCTCGGTATCGTGGATACGCGTCAGAAGCGTCATGGTGGGCTCATAGAACTCATGCAAGTGCGTTTTCGTGGTAGTGTTCACGCAAGTCATGGCGTAAATACCGATAGTCTGACAAGGTGGCTGTGTGACGAAGGTTGTGCCTACGCATCCGCGAAGGGCTGCAGCTCTTATGCCCGGTTCTAGCAGTAGATTTGCTGGGGAAGCGTTCGCTCTAAGAGAGACTTCACACCTGCCCCGCTGCATTTTGAAGCGCCCCCCGAGAATCTTGTTAATAGACGGTGCGAATTGGAATTGGGTGAAGTCCAACCACTGAGGTACTGGCAAGCTGGTATTATCGTACCGTGGAGGTGCGTCAAGCGGCGTTGCCCAAGCCTCCGCGGCCTCCGCATACATGTGACGAAGGATGTCCGTGACACCCTTTGCTAACGCGACAGCTTGCGAGAGGCGTGCAGGTGCATACACTCCGTCCTCGTTCGCAAAATAGCCGGCCTTTTCTTCAAAATCTCCGAGCTCTTTCGAACTGGGCTGTAGCCAATCCGGAGTCTTTCCAAGGACTTGAGCATCGCCATACTCTACAGCGTCGTATATGCGACGGCTGTGATAATCAGATTGGAAAATGTATTCGACGGTATCCCGCCACGATTGCGACACGCTCCATGCATAGAGCTGACTACGAATATCAATCCGACGAAGAACGTTCTCGCGCAGCTCTGCGACCCCAAAGACGCGTTTCGCTGCAGGCTGCGCGACTGCTGAATGTAATCGCGCTGGGGGTGGAGGTGCTCTTGGTTGTGCCGCAGCCGGGAAAAAGTCCGCCCTGCGTCGATTGGTGAACGCTATGATTTTGTCTTTCCATGGCAGTATCCTCCGCACGTGTTCGGGTTGGCATCTTCGACCACCTTGCTCACGTAGGTTTTCGTATTCACGACTCCATTTCACGAAGCAGGCGCGCTTCTCAGCCGTGATGTTGGTGATGTCGTCTTCGGTGATCCATTCAAAGATGAGCTCTTCGTCCGAACGCGTGCTCGAAGGGATTCCGAAGTTCGAATCGCTCATTGTTCATCCCCTTTGGAGCGGAAGGCTGAAAAGCAGATTGGGCCCTTGCTAGTAATGGGTTCTACTTGTGGAAGAAGACGCCACCTGGACGCTTGGACGATACGATGACATAATCTCGCATAACCCGCACTAGATCTAATCTAGATTTGCACGTGTTTTGCTGGTCCCGCAGCAGCCGAGGCTACCGCGAGTGTATGATACTTTGCATTGAAGTGCATCGATTCTCCAAACATTACTCACTAAGCACATAGACTTCAGAGAACCCACCTTTTCCGTCTGGTTAAGGTGACGCAGCAGTAGTAGCGATTTCTACAATCTATAGTAAGAAAAAACGAAGTAATGGCATGTCGTGCTATATGCTCCACAAAGAATCATCAGCAGAAGTATCGGAAATCCACTCCGCCCAACACCCACTGCTGGTGTCGACGTATTGCTCTGCGATATCCAAAGTCTTCCATTCGTTTCCCTACATCCTCATACCCATCAGCAACGGCCGTTGGCTCACATGCTTGGAGAGATTGGGATTTTCATCCATGTCGTGATGATCGAGCGTGAGTATAAAGTGAGGACGGGCACCGGCTGTGAATGCACGCCGTCTTGGGTATGATAGCTGCAGTACGCTTGGAGGCAGGGTGGCCAAGTTCTCTCGCATACGCTCGACTTGGTCCCTCCAATCCAATAGTACGGTCGCCGCATGTGCGTTTAGTATACTTGTTAGATGGGATAGACGTATTCCGTCCTTGTTGTAAATGCGGGCCACTAGCTTATTAATGTGTGCAGTCCCCTCCAGCCACTGATCACTCGGAGTGTAAATGCCGATGCAACTACACGGTGGGTCGGTGACAAAGTGCGATCCTATATGGGAGTACAAGGGTCCAAGTGGGAACTTGAGCGGATGAAGGAGGCCTTCAGTGGGAGCATTGGTATTTAAGTAAATGTGACAGCGACCGCGATGTGTCTCGAATCCGCTAGTGTATAGGCGCTCCAGACACGGATGCAACGTGAACTGCGTAAAGTCCAGCCACTGCGGCTGCGGTTTGAAGTCGTTGTCTGGGGCGGGGTTAATGTCCCAAGCCACGCGATATGCGTAGCGCACGAGTTCTGCGACGGATGGCTTGAGCAGATGCGATTGAGTAAGTCGAGCGGGTGCGTACGTCCAAATGTTCCATCCATTTGTATCCAGGAGAATCGAACACATTGCGTGGACCTTTTCTTCGAAAGCAAGTAGTTCTTCGGGGATTACAGGAGGGTTGTCATTGTGAGTCGAACACACATCGGAGTATTCGACCGGGTTCTGATGCGGTGTATCTTCGAAGGGGTCCTGGAGAATGCGCTTCACAGTCGCTCGCCATAGCGTACAGACTTGGCCGGCGTGCAGTTGGGTCTGAAGGTCCGCGCTGTATAAGATCTGCTCGACCAGTTCCGCTATGTTCAAAACGCGGTGAGCAGCGGATGCAGTCGACGATGGATTCCGACCATGTTCATTACTCGGATCTGAAGTTGAAGGCGACGGCCCTGAAGCAACTGGGTATCTGGCAAGCTGTGCATCGACTAGAGCCACAAGGGAATCCTTCCAAGCATGCCACCTACGCACAGACGTGAGATTGATGTTTCTAGCTGCCGCGTCCAAAAAGAGGCTACGCCTTTCCTTCAAACTAGGGCCAGATGACGCGCAGTACTCAGGGCTCTCAAAATAGGCTGCCGCGTCAAGCAATCGGGTTCGTAGTTCCAGAGGAATGGGCGATGGAAGAATTAGGGTAGAAATGGCCAATGGATTGAATGGGGTTCGTGGTTCCGGATCCTCGATGCCGAACCACTTGAGCAAAAGACTGCTTTCCGTAGCAGCATCGCTTGCCTGCGGGGGGAGGGTGGTGTCTGCCATTCTAGGAGTGAGCTAGAGGGTGATGTCAGGTTGTCGGTGGGTCGTGCGGCGCTACCTCGGTCACACGCTGACTAATCTACTAGCCGGAGCTCGAACAAAACTCTCCGCGCCGCCGCCACCCTCTCTTCTTTTCCATATAGAAAGTTGCACCCACGAAATTTGACCTCACTCTTTGTTCCTCTACAAGATTGAAGTTGACATAAGCTGGGGAGAACATACATCTTTGCCCCCAAGAACTGCCTGCCCCTACCGAATGGGCTGTCGGTCCCGTGGCTCCGAGACATTCCATTAAGAAATTTTCATCCCTGCGACGTCTCCCTTCGGCTCGAACGATACCGACACGTATACGCACGAGTGACACGATGGATGCATAAGCGCGACCAAGGCGGTAGAAGTGATCGCTTTGGAAGCGCTGTACAATAAGATGGCCCGTAAGACCAAGGCGATTGACCACATGGTCAATCGCATGAGCAAAGTGCGGCTGGTGGATGAGCGCGCTGCCCCGCCGCCCGATGCTCAAGACGATGCGCAGGAAGATGAGAAGAAAGCTGCGAAGCGCCAGCCCTTCCGCTTCTTCGATCTGCCATCCGAGCTGCGGCTGCGCATATACGAAGAGCTTTTAGTCTTCCCCAAGACCATCGACCTCGACCCTACGAATTACCGCACCGTCGCCCCCGCCCTCCGCCTCTTCCTCGTCGACCATCGCATGCACGACGAAGCGTCGCGCGTCTTCTACGGTCGCAACACCTTCCGCGTGTTCCCCATCCACGGCCGCTACATAAACCGCAAGCACCCGCTGCTTGCGTGGTTCCCTCGTAAATACCGCGCGCTTCTTACGCGCCTAGAGCTGCGACTGGGGCCGGGCTTCACGAAACCGCCGAAATGCTGGGTCGTGGATAGCCGGCTCGGTCTGGCAGCGGTGAAGAAGGTGTACAAATTGAAAATCTTTGTAGAGATTGACCCGGCATCGAACGAGGTCTTTGAGGGCTGGCGCGTGGGGAACAACTTCTATACCGAGTACTGCGTCGGGCTGCTGAGAGGCTTGCTCGCGCAGGTGCCGTCGATTGATGACGTCGAGTTTGACGCATACCCAAGCGTGTCCAAAGACAGCCCGCTGCTGAAGGGCCTGGTAGAAGAGACCAAGCTCAATCAAAAGCGCGTTGCCTGGGGCCCTGAGAGGGGCTGGGACAAGATCGTGGAGGTTGACTTGGCCAGCGTGTTGCAGAAGATGGGGCTTGGAGCTCAATGAAATGAGTCTGTCCCGTAGCATCCGCCGCTCGTGCTGTCATGCTTTGCGCTGCACACTTCGCGTCACTTATGTATATTCATGTATCATTTCTTGGTCCTTGATTCGCATGCCCGAAGTTGCTTGTCCAGTTTGTTCTTTCCCTTTCTAGTCGCTATAACAATGCCGAGGAATGGCGTGTGGCGTTCAGCCGTGCCTGCCCAAATGGGTGTGAGAAGTCGGCCCCGCTCTCAGCCTGCCTACAACACCTGTTCTGGCACCGTAACCTCGTCGTTCCCCACAAAATCTCTATGCTGATCACACGAAACAGCCTTGCCTCTGTCGGAGCACAATACAGGAAGGACCTGGCACAGATCTAGTTGCAGTCTACAAACCGGCGTCACACGCCGCGCACACCACTTACACCACCATGTCTGCGCCCGCCCACGCCGTAACGGACGACGACACTTACGTATACGCACTCTTCGACCAGAGCGATGCCGATCAGTCTTCCCAGAAGCCGCCTCCTTCTTGACATCAATAACACGGCGCGACTTGATAAGGAAACCGACACGCGTGTTCGGTCCTCGCATTCGCTTGGTTTACCAACGCATCCTCTTCAAATACAAAGAGAATGTTTGTAATATGGACCTCACATTCAATTCTCATCACGCAGGCTCTTCCGACTTCACTGCGCGCACGGATGTTGTCGTATCCGCTGCCATATATATTGGGGCGCGTCCTAGACTTCGACTCTCCTCCACTAGATCTCTGTCAGAGCTACTTCTCCTTCATATCGCCAACAACTACCAGAATTTTACGTAGTCGAAGACATGAGCGCGACAAACGACGATTCCGTTTCCGCGATACCTGGCCAAACCATGTCGATGCAGTCACACCCCATCAACCCAGAGGCACCGTCTCTCTTGACAACAATACCAGGCGAAGTCCGCAATGCTATCTTCGAGGCTCTATTCGAGTTAGGCCACCCCATTACAATCTCCCGCGATCGGTATGCGCACGGCGACTCCTCATGTTACCAGTCGCGAGACGTACGTGGCATCGCGCTACTTCGAACATGCCGTCAAATCCACGAGGAAGTTACCGGTATTCTCTACAGTCGGAATATCTTCTGTGTAAGTCTGGCGGACGACCCCTACATTACTGATCCAATTCCATGGGCAATGGCCTGGCTCGACGATATTGGGATACAGTCTTCCTCTGTTCGACATCTTCAAACTCACATCTACAACGTATTCCACGGTCGAGATGATATCATCAATATATCACCTATACTACATCAAGTATGGGAGCCTGATCATGCGGCTTTGAAGGTTGAACTTCTCCCTAGATGGTATCCGGAATGGGACCCACCAGGTGACGATCTTAACAGAACAGCCGAGATAAACGCTGTCTCATGTAACAGGCAGATGGCTACAATCATTGATGATCCGTCAGGAATGATCAAAAGGTTCTGTTCCGTGCCTTCATTACTGCGAGAAGTTTGCCTGAACTTCCTGGACCACCATGCTCACCTTCATTACTATGAATCAACTTACAGCGGCGACCGCCCGCTAGCTATGGACATTATTGATATAGTCGACAACGGTGCTGAGAGTACGTTTTCGAAAAGAAGACCGGTTACGGACATCAAACGCATCATGTCGTCCTACGAAATTCGAAACTCTATCTTGACCATGGCGTTGTGTCCAGACGAGGAAATTATCTTTGACCTCACAAACCGGACAACAAACGTGGATGTGGCCCACATCGCATCGGTCACTACTTGCTTGACTGGTACACACGAGGTCGGTTTCCGGGAAAGAGCGTTTAGTGTCACATTGACAAGTACGAGTACCCTGGCAGCTTTCACCGCTGAACTAAAGATACTCCGCGGACTGCCTCTCGGAAACCCTATGAACATAATCATTCGCTACTATCTGGACAACAATGCCTCCTTGGACGAGGTACGGCTCGATGCTCTCGCGCTTTTGCATGCGACGGGGTGTCGCTACCTATCAAAGCCCGTGTGCATCGAAGTCTACCGCAAATCTGGCACTGCCCCAATCAACAGCTACACTATATCTCTTGAGGATATACGACAGAGCATCCTTCTCTTCATGTACCAGATCTTCAAGAAAAGTCCAGAGCACATGCTAGCGCAACTACCAAGGATCTGGATGAGTGGCAGGGGCGAGGCGCGGGAAGCCGAGTGGGACTTGAGCAAGTGTTCTATTGAGCCGATCGTAAATGAGAACGTTGGCATCAGCTCGACAATCATTCAATCACGCTACGAAGAGATTAAAGGGGTGTTCGAAAGCATGCTCGATCCAGGCAATTTTCCGCCTGACTCTATGGGTGATTCCGCAATACGGTTGTGGTACTAGGTAGGCGATGAAATTTGCTGCATACAGCCTATCAAATATGAACAAGTCGAGAGTGACTAGGATAATGTATACTTCAAACTAGAAATTGACATGTGGTATACTCAATGCGACATGCATCCGATCGTCCCTTGATGCCAGGTGCTGTGGATTAAGATAATAGCGTCACCGCACCTCATACAACTAAGTACGACTGGAACATTAAGAGGCAATATAGATCTCTAGGGTAACCTTTGCTAATTTCAATGCGTGTTTGGTCTCTTCTCCGAATTGGCTGACCTTATCATTCGTCACATACACCAAATACGTGCATCGAGCATTGGTACAGTGCAATCTAATCCAGCTTCGCCAACCTTTCTTCGCGTAAGTACAGGTCGTATTGTAAGAAGTTCTGCTGTTATCGCTATCCATGACGTAGCTCTTTCTATTTGGTGCAGCAAACGGCCATAGTCTTGGCAGTCGCGCTCTCTCACCTAGAATCCCCAACCTTACAAACTTTTCCCGCTCCCAGCGATTACTCTTCCTTCTGCTCTCACGCACTCATTTCGAGATACTAATCGCCAGGGCCGCGGCGATTGAGATCACTCCCGCAGCTTCACAGCGAGCGACATGAGCGCGACACCCAGTACCGCAGCCGGCGGCGCGACTTCCGCTACCCTCAGTGGCGCGGAGTCAAGCAACATGACTGTCACCAAGGTCGCGGATGGACGATCAGATGCGAAACCCGCGAGCCCAACAGACAGCCTTCCATCGCCCGTCTCACGCCCGATCGATCCGGATGCGCCGTCCCTGTTAACATTACCTGGGGAGGTTCGCAACGCGATCTACGAGACACTCTTGATCCATGAAGATCCTGTTCAGATCCGTGCGAACGGTATCGATCCTCTCGGTTGCCACTCCGGCAGTGTCGTCCCCGGAACTGCACTCCTCCAGTCATGTCGCCAAATCCACCATGAGGCCACTGGTGTCTTCTATGCACGAAACGTGTTTCGACTAGTGGTCCCTACAAGTACGGACGACGAAGACGGCCTTCTTTGGGCTATGGACTGGCTTCGCATTATCGGCAAACAGTCGTCTTCTCTTCGCGTCATCCAGCTCGATATCAAGAGCCTGCTTGAAGGGTGCGAGGCCTTGGAGATCCTACCGATACTGGAGTACGCCTGGAAGCTGGATCACAAGGACATGGCTGTTTCGTTTGTGACACCACCTGAGACGTTGCGGATGAGCCTCCGAGGCCTTCGGCGATGGTCTGCCAACCACACGGCTAAGATTAACAAAGGCTTGAGTACGCTCCTCGCTGATCCCTCAGATCTTCTTAGAAAGTACTGGACCGTGAAAATGCTGTTGAGGGTCACACTCGACCCAGATGGATCGAAATTATACATTTCATACCGCCATAATCACCGCGATGGTGGTAACTGGATGACGAAAGGCCGCATGTCAATCAGCGATGGTGGTGAGCTGCGTGTCATTCCGCTCGACAGAAACCCAGGATTATGTGAACTCATGACAATGTTTTCTGTGAGAAGGAGGCTTTTCGATTTGGTCCAGCCCCCAGAAATGGAACTGGTCTTCGACTTGACGAATCAGACTACGAATAACAACCTTGAAAGCCTCGCTCGAGTAAATGATTGGTTACGTCGCCAAACCTTGTCAGAAGTCCGTAACTATAACTCAACCTTCACGTCAACAACGTCAAAGCCGAAATACAACTTTGAGACCGAGCTGGAGACATTCGCAGCCGTCCAACTACGGGGCCGCCCACGCCACTTTCATCTGTACTTCGACCTATCGGAATATTTCACCCTCAAAGATGTTCGATTCGATGCACTGCCACTTATATCTGCGTTGAGCTCGTTTGACTGCGAAGTCGACTTGAAGATCGAGGTACGCCATCCGCTCGATTCCAAGACATCATACCAGACCTTCACGATGCTCTTGAGAGATCTGAAAGTCGGCGTTTTCTCCTTTATATACAACTTTCTGGATGACTATCCCAACCGGGCCTACCTTCCGTGCCCTAAAATCTGGACCAATGGGTTCGGTCAAGCGAAAGAAGCGACATGGCAAGATGAGCTCTGGCTGGAACCTGTGGATAATTCATACCCGGACAACAGTCAGAGTATGTTTCAACAGATTCGTGATGAAGTTGCGAATGAATGGGCTTCGAAAGTTGCGAATGAATGGGCTTGGAGAGACAGAAGTCGTGTCGGTCCTGCTATCGAGGGCACATTATTTGAGTTCCTTGGGGAGGAACATGGGTGGTGATTGAGGTACGATCTGACTATATCATCAGCATAACTCGCTGATGCTTTCTAGTTTTTTGATGCGGACCCGAGTTCTTTACTGCATTTTTGGAGCTCTCGGGTCGGGAACTCTCTTTCATTGGCTCCACGCAGACGGATAGAGTTAATTGGGATAGCATGGAAGTTCAGTCATGGTCTTCGCTTGCTCAAGCCCTCTTCTCCACTCATTGGTCTATCACTTGGTTTTGTCATGCTTGTTTTCCATTTCACCATTTGCCAGCAACGGATCCTCCGATCATGGAAAGGAAGTTGCTGCACACAAAATTATTTGAGTTCATTACTTCTTGATCTGCGAAAGGGAAGGCATCATGGGATGTATGGATGTTTACAGCTCGACAGCACAAGCTACATACCTGCAAATGCATACAAAAGCAAGCTTCTTAGCCCATGAAACGTTTGCATATGACTGAACCAAAGTACGGAGTTTGTCGGATATGCTTGCAGGTGTAATCTGCGATTCATTAATGCGATGTTGAATTTCTACATGTTTAGGAAGAGGCGGTTATCGGCCGCAATGGGAAGTTATGGAGGCGCATTGCACGCGCAGGTGACACGTACTGACAAAGATCGCGATCCTGCCGTCTCTAGAGAGTAGGCAAGCAGCATTGTCAATGTGGACGGGCGACGCGATGTAGGATGCTCAGGGGCTGCGCGCGGAGAAGGGGTGTACGCGACAACCAATCACAGCACAGCAGACAAGTGATGACGCGTTACGTCATCGCGTCACCAGTCGAAGTCGCGCCTTCGGCCTTTCCACGACACCAACAACACAACAGCTCAACGCTGAGTCGTAGCACCGCGCGAAGGCATCTCACTTTCCACACTTCAAAGGCGAAAGCACAACCGTGGTATCTTTGTTGCCCTACTATCACTGGTTCTTCACGCTCATAACATCAATACAGCTCTCCAAACTTCTAGCCGCACACTGAGGTCGCGTCTCCGGAAAGCATCTAGCTTGCTATCGCCGCGCACACGGAAACGAACGAACCCTTAAGCCATATCTCGTCTACTCAGCTGCCGCCCTCACGAACAAACGCTCGATATCGGGAAGCATGTCCAATGGGTTCTCGCTCGCATCCAATGCCTGGTCCTCGACAAATCCGCCATCCCTGTCAACGTATGGCTGGGGGTCAAGTTCCCAATTCTGGTTCTTACAGAATCTAGCCAGACGAACGTTGCAGAACACAATCGACTTCAGTTCTTTGATGAGGCAGCGCTGACTGCTGTCACAGGAGGCGTCCTCATTCGGATCCTTGAACATGCGTACGATTGCAACCTGGAGAAATGGCTTTGCCGCTACGATATCGTCCATTGCACTGAAAAGTTGTCGGTCGCAACACCTCATATGGCGCTGCAGACCCCGCGCCTCGAGGCGGAACCGGATATAATGGGGCAGGACGAATTTGATCTTGTTGAGTCTGTAAGCGCCCGCCAGCATCCAAGCCAGACTACGCCACGAGTCTTCGAAGTCTAGTCGCGGGAAGCGCTTACGGAGTTTCCCTTTGGTCCACGGATATGAGAAAGGCATGAGGTCGTATACCTCGTGTGTGCGAAGCCAGGTGTGTGGGTTCCAGTGTGAGGCCATGCAACCGCGGTCTCCCGAGCGGCAAGGGATAGCCATGGTCATGGATTTCATGAATCCCAGATTCCTCGACCCAATCTTCGTCGCGAACGCATACGCTACCATGTGGCCGTTGAGACCCGAGAAGCGGAACTCATTGTTGCCGTAAAAGACCTCGGTGGCTTCAGCGCATACTTGCTTGCACGTACGTAGCAAGCCGAGGTTGCGTGGGCCGCGTCTGCCGAACATCTTTCGAAGTCTAGACCTGTTGCGTACTCTTCGGTAATACTCGGTATCCATGTCTCCGGTCTCTGGCCACAGCTCGATCGGCTCGTCGAATTCAAGGGCATGCCCGTAGATCATCAGACGGATTTCGAGAGGCATATCGAGGAAGCCAACGTTCTGAGGCTTGTTCTACAGACTTGTGAGTATACCATTATGTGTCCAGATCCATAGGGTACTTACCACAGGCTTCTGGAACTTACGTTCACCGTAGATCTGAGTATATCGACGGTATGGACGGAGGTTGTCACAGGAGTGGACAAGGAACGCACGCTTAGCGTTCAGCTTTTTCATCTTCTCGGTGTGCGCTGCTTGCGCCTCCTGTTCTCGCTTCAATCTCGATTCTTCCTTTTTTTTTAGCTCAGCGCGCGCTATTTGCACCTCCTGCCCGCGCCTCAGTTGAGCTTCTTCTTCCGTGATCTCCTCCTGCACCGCTTCCGCTTGCTCAGGTGCCTTGTGCATGGTCTCGGCATTCTGTTGCGGCTCACCACCCGAACCTGCTTGAGCAACCTTCCGAGCTTTCCGCGCTCGCCGTCTAGCCGATGCACTCATCTTCTTGCGCTCGATGCCCTCGGGCAACACGTTATTTGGAGAAGCAGACATGTCTTGGATGCTTTGCTAACGTGTAGAAGTTTTCGGGTTGGTTGACTGGTCCGTTGAGATTTTGATCAGGCTCGGAAGCGTACGGGCATATATAGGGGTGCAGTACACTCACGCCAAGCCTGTGCATCACGCATTAGGCTCCTACTCGAAACCTCTAATCATTTTGGTCAAATTACGCTCGCCATTGGGGGCCAGAGAATCTTCGGCTATTTCACTCAGAGCTCAAAGTAATGGTAGTTCGCCCCCCTACCGAGCATGTTGATTGCTAGGACCAAGCCTATCGATGCCTAAATGCCTGGGTACTCCAATAACGCCCATGTATATTCAGCAAGCCCAGACCAGTAGTTTTGCTGGGAAATGATATGTCCGGAGGTCCATTCGGTGGTACCTTGGGCCTGTACCAAACCATTGTCGCTTATCAAAAGCGCTTCTGCTACGATCCCAACTTCTGCAGCGTGCACTATGTCATCACGACGGAACAGCAAAAGAAACGGAAAAGTTTGAACAATGAACATTGTATTTCAATAACTATTCAAGTATCCTCAATTCCCTCCTGACTCTCCGCCCTGACCCCCATTGGTAGTGCAGTTAACCTGACTCTCAATCCCGTCAATGTTCAAGCAAGTGTACTGGTTCGTTCCACTCGGGCTCGTAACATTAACATTTTCGATGTTGATGTTCGAGCAAACCGCCGGGCTGGAGCAAACCAGGTACCCAACGAGCGGGTCGTACTTCTTGCTGGTCGTGCCGTGGAAGTTCTTGACTGTGATGTCGGAGATGGTGAGGTTGGATGGGAACTGCAATCGCGTTAGTTTTCGGAAAGGGATTGGTTGGTGGGAAGTAAGGGCGTACCTGGTTGCAAAGCGTCAAGTTCTTCTGACCGTAGCATTGAGTAATCTCAATCGCGTAGTCGACGTTGGAAATAGTCATGCCGTCATACGTAATGTTCTTGACGGCACCGCCACCGCCTCCGCCCTGAAGATCGCCGGAAAGAGCAGAAGAAGCACCAGGCCAGACCTTGATGCGCGCACCGTCCGACGCATTCGACATGCTGATGTTGTACACGTAGATGTTCTCGACGATATCAATTTCGCCGGGGTACTGGCCCAGAGAACCAACACTAATGCCGTGGCTACCGTTGCAGATGAGGTTCTGAACAACGATGTTGGTGCTGTTAGGTTTGAACGAAACGCAATCGTCGCCGTTGTCAATATGCGAGTTCTGAATGACAATGTTGTCGGAACGGTACGTGTCCCAGCCATCCGTGTTCTTAGCGGGGTTCTTGCTCTTGCTTCCACCGAAGATGTCGATGTTGTCGAAGACCACGTCGGTCGAGTTGGCGACGAATGTGTACCATTGCGGGCTGTATCTGAACTTCAAGTCGGAAATGGTGGCGCCTTCCGCGCCAATGACACCGAAGAGGATGGGGCGTAGGATGTAGATGTCCTCCGCGTAGAGGTCGTACCAGGCCTGGCCATTTCCGTCTAGGGTGCCGCCGCCGTAGACGTTGACGTCTTTGCCGCCGAGCTGGAAGAAGGTGGTGGCGTTTTGGTAGATTTGCTTGAAGGAGTTGGCTTGCCAGTAGTCTGTGTCGTTTGTGAATTGGATGGATCCTTGGATGTCTTTTCGATAGTTAGTAATGGAAGATAATAGCTTTTAGAGGTTACACACCCAGATCAATGCTGTTTAGGAAAGTGAGATCCAGCGCGGTTCCGATGGTAAACTTCTGGTCCTTCGGGAAGACGACATGGCCTCCGTTGTTGCACTGCTTGATCGCCTTCAAGATGTTCGCGGAATCATCCTTACCGCCGCCGAGAGCCTTGACGCTGCAGGTCTTGGTTCGTGGCGGCGACGCTGGGCATGCCTTCCTGGGGTGATAAGGATACGCCGGATGGTGTGGCCTCTTCGACGCGACAACCTTGACGCTTCGCTCATCGAGAGGCGTAGATAGTACTGCTGATGCTTGCAGCAAAGCGCACGTGAAAAGCTCGGTGACGCGCATATTGGCAGACGTTTGTGCCGACAATGTTAATTGACAAGCTGGAAATCAACGTCCGTACCTCGAGAAAGATCGCGACACCACCCAGCCTAATATACCCCCATCGCATCATCCCCAGCCGTCCGAGCCGCGGCCTTGGCCCTGGAACCACCTCAAGATACCCGCTCCCGTAAAATTGGATGGCGCGGAGGAACTCTACGATCATCCCCTTCATCCACCTCATCCTGGGGTCCCCTCACGGCCACGCGTGGCTAAACGGGTCATCGCTGTGGCGCTAAGCCAAGATCAGCGAAGCTTTCCCCACACGCCTGGGCGCTTGGCCAGCGCCATTGGTGGAGTTTCTGCGACCCCAGATTTCCGGTGCGTTGCTCGCCCCACGACAAATCGCAAAAAGACGGTCTACGGCTTCTACGCGTCAACGGCTGCGTTTCTGGGGTGAGCAGTTGAGTGAACGTGGCGGGCGAAGATTTTGCCGCGGAACGGCCGGCGTTGTCAAGCAAGTGGTGGCTGCTTGGAAGGGCTGGGCTGAGTTGCGATGCTTTCATCATGGAGAAGATGGGCTTACCGCAATTACTCATCCGGGCGGGCTCCGGTAATTTCGTACCTGTTGAATACCAGCTCCATCTTCTCCTGAGGTTTTCAACAGTCATGTGTTTACCCCGTAAAACGACTTGGGTGTGCGCAAGAGCATACTGACGAGATACCCAGAGCCAAGCCCATTGTCTTCGTTCCGTCCCGAAAGCTTAGCAGCTGGGTTTCTCTGCCAATTCAACGACGTGCGAAAAGCCATCAAGAAGACTGATATTAGGGAATGCGACCATCAAAAGTGTCTAGTCAGTCCGTTTAATCTCCAACTACCCTCAGCGGACATCTTAGACACGTCGTGTTGAGATATCACTATTATTCGTCGCACCCCGAAGCGTAAGCTGGCCGGAAATACCATGTGAACTCCGATAACAGGGCCGATACTAGAAGTCATGGCTTGCATACCAGTACCGCGGAAGTAAAATCTGCATCCGCCGAACCAGGGTCTGCGTCATTCGCTTGAGCCTGTCAAGACGTCTGTAGAATTGACGAGACGACAACTCGTCTCTTGAACCATCGACTACATGTAAAGAGCAACACGGGAAGAGAGAGGATTTGGTGTGAAGTTACGTTGGTGAGAAGGAATGAAAAGCCAGTAGAAAAAAGCATTGCTATGCTACGAAGAGAGATAAGCTCCCAGTGGCGGTAGGCCGCCATCGCTATGCAACGATTGAGGTGATGCACTGAACATATATCGTAACGCTACCCAAAACCATGCTATGCAACCCGCAACTCCCAACCCCAGCCGAAAGCAGAATACAATCATACAATACAGAGGAAAGGAACGTTTACCAACATTCATTCCATCCCCAAAGCAACACCCTTACCTCACCCGCTGTCCCTGCGATCACATCAACCAGTATAAGCCCGATAACCCATACCACCTGCGTCCTCAAACACACACCCAGCCATGCCCATTCCCATCCCAACATCCTCACGCCAACCCCCCTGATCCACCGGCGTCCTCGGCTCATCCGCGCTTGGACTGGGACTGTTAGAGAACAAACCCCCCTCTGGACTTTGCTCAAGCACATACGCCGTGTCGCCAATAGGCAGGCCATGTTGAAGAGGTTGCGATAGGGAGTGTGCTGATATGGTGCGCGATAGATCGTGGTGGTGTTGCGACATGGGACTACCCGGGTAGGAACGTGTGGGCGGGGAGAAGAGATCGAGATGAGCGTGGTGGTGTGGACCAAGGACGTTGGCGTTGGGATTATTGAGGGCGAAGTCGTCGGTTCGGGAGGACGACGACGATGGATAGCCAAAGTCCACGTCGCTTCCGTAGTATGGACTGGGTGGGTAGGCGTCCGCTGGTACGCTGCGATAATTCGGATCGAAAGCCGCGGGCACAGATCGAGACATGTACTGGTCATTGCCATTACGGTATCCATCGTGCATCCTCCCGCTTCGCTTCATCCTTGCTGAGCGACGTGCAGCTTGACCCCCTTTGGCGCCAGAGGCCTGACGCTGGGGCTGTGGTTGCTGGGTCCGGTGGCCGCGCTTGTTGGGCTGCTTACTGCGGTAGCGGGTTGTGGATTTGACGCCTTCGCGTATGGCTTCGTCGGTTAGGCGCCACATGAAGCCTTTGCGAGATTCCTCGCCGGGTTGGTCAACTTTTTCGAAAGCCTGGGTTGGTTAGTATGCAGATCAGAAGAGAAGGAGAAAGGAGAAAGGAGACATGACTTACCCCATTCATTGACAGATTGTGTCGAATGCTATTCTGCCAGCCTTTTGTCTCCGAGGCACTGGCCTTGTCGGTGTTGGCTTTGAACCACTCGTAGATATCGCGAAGGATCATTGTATTGTTGGGCGCGTTGAGGAGGGCTTGGTAGATCAACTGCGCGTAGGGCTGCTCTTTGTCGATGACACCGTCTCCAGAGAGGTCATGGGGATGTCGAGGGGGATCGTCGTGAGGAGTGGATGCGCGGGTCAGGTCGGAGTACGGACTCTGGTAGCCATTGGTATCCTCCACCTTCATATGCGCACCATACGGATGATGGTCGAAGTCGTTGCTTAGCTGCATGAGCTGGCCGCTGATCTCATGGTCTGACAGATCCATCGCGTCAAGATGGTTCGGCGGTTCGATGTGGTATGCGGTGGGTGGATGCGAGTCGGTCATACTGATATCGGCAGGAAGGCCAGAGAGGTCAACGCCGGTGTAGGACCGGGGGCAGCTTGCGTTGGAATACTGAGTCGGGTACGCGATACCGAAGTTGTCGTTGTAGGACATTCCGTTCTCGGCGTAGTTGTAGAAGTCTCCGGTACCAGGTGGAAACGGGTTAGACGCATTGTAACCCGCGCCATTCTGGGCCATGGAGTTGAGGAGGAAGTTGGTCGGGGCAGTCCACTGCATTGGCTCTTGTTCGTCGAGGCTCATGGCAGAGTGCGGGGTAGTGTCGTTGTTGGAAGGTGCAGGTCCCTGATCGGAAGGTGCGGTGAGCGGGACCTCAATAGGCAGCCTGGGGGAAAGAGACAACACCGGGTTATGGGTGTGAAAGGGAAGCGGGGTACAAAAAGCGTCTTTGGAGGGCTGGAGGGGTTCACAAAAGGCGTCTTGAGATGACTGGACGTTGTCGAATTCAGCACCCACGTCTGCGGAGGAAGGCCGATGAGGTGATTGCGCATGTGGCATTGCTGTTGTGTTGTCGGCCTCCCACGGGTCTGGACGGTAGAGATAAGGAACGTATCGATACGAATACGCCAACGTGTTGTGTGAAACCAAAAGACTGGCAGAAAATGAGAGTAGTAAAAGGCGATGCTCACAAATGAAGCGGCAGTCAGGACGTTAACATGCTCCGCCATGCCCCGTCGAATGGGATTGCTTGGAAACCTTGTCATTGTCACCTAGACGATTCTTGCGCGGGTTCCTACTGCCAGCACACCTGGAGGCTTGACGCTGCAGCGTCGCTTGTATGGACAAACAAAGAATGAGATCTCATCGCAAGGACGGCGGATCTGAGGACCCTGGCCGCAGGCGCAGCTGCAGACGTGATGTCACGGAGCGACAAGTACCGGTACAGCATCACCGCCCCACGGCCCGAGACGCAGCCTAGAGACCCTCATTGCACTACTCCATCAACCAGTGTGGATGACTCTCTGTACCACCACTGCAGCCAACGATTGCCTGCTTGACACCGGCATACGGGAAGGCGCATACGTCCACTTATAACATCAAGATGCGCATAGAGGTGGCCCACTTGTAACATCGAAACGTCCATCGGCCTGCACGGCAGTCTCCCGCCCTTCGATGTTCCTGCCCGGCTTCGGTGCATGTCCTGGAAATTGTCCGAGAGCAAGAGGCAAGATGTTGTTCATTGTAGTTGTCAGCATACGCGTCCAAGCTATTCTTCCACGCTGTAACAATCATCCTGACATAGGTGACTTCCTCCAAGGACCTGTATTCCTCGTCTGCAAACTCTATCCCAAAAAGGGCATTAACGGCATATGTTCTGCAGGCGCAAGGATGTGACATGATGTGCTGCGCCTGCAAAGAGGCAGCAGGCGAGCAACCGTTTGGGAGCAGACCCCACAGAGGCCTGTAACACGACTTCTACCATTTTTCTTCCGGTGAAGCTGATTCGTAGTCCTTGCCCAAGCAATAGGCATCCATGATAGGCCCTCGTCACGGCCCTGTCACCGCTCGAAGAGGAGTGTACACCGCCAACGGACCCGAAAACGGAGATGCTGCACGTTGCGAGGATATGAGAGCCGGTAGAAACGTCACCGCCAATGTGGTGGTCACGGGTGATGGCGCAACGAGAGAAGCCTGGATTTGATACTCAAGAAACACCTATCGATAGAGAGGGTCCTGTGCAACGTCCGCCCTATTTCTTATCCTATCGCGCCGTTTGGTGTAAGAGGGGCCAGGTACAGCGGGGTAGGCTGTGAAGCGTCCATGTCACCCAAAGGGGGCTTAGCTACTTTCGATAGTATATCTGCCACGATGTTAGTGTGATGCCAGTGTGATGCCGTTCCGGTCATGCGATCTTGACATACCTTCTTGAATTGGAAGTGGAGTTGCAAGATGCCCTGCATTGCGTTAGCCACGTAGCTAGTACAGTGAGTATGAGTGGACGTACCTTGTCAAAACTGCTCTTGAACCCACGTTCTCTCTTGGCGCTATAGTCCCATTCCTTGTCGATGATGCGGAAGGCAATATCCTCATAGGGCGGGCCGGCAATGAACCGGATGAGGCACGTGTCGTCTTCACCGGCCGGCGCGAAGGACTGGCCCTTTTTGCGGCCGTTCTCCCGTTCGATCTTGTAGGTGGGCGCCTTTGATTTGTCGATGAGGTCGGGGTAGAAGATGTTGAACTTGTAGCCCTGTACGACCTTTGGTGGCGGGTTGTCGTGATCGTAGTGCGTTTGGTTGTACTTGTTCCATTCATAGCCCATCTGGACGCGGTTGAAGTAGCGGGGTTTCCTGGGCTTGTAGCTGCCAGCCCACTGGGGTCGGGCGGTCGTGACTTCCTCCTCCGCGGTAAAGATTTCCTCGCCTTCCTCCACACCTCGCGCGACTTCCCTCTCGTATAGCGCCATGGTTGCCTTGGAGTAATCTTCTTTCTCGACAGGCGCAAATCGTGAGGCACTCGTCGTTACCGTCTGGCTCGTCGTGGGCTGACTGCTGGTGGTGGTTGGGTCGCTGGATTTGGCCTGTGACGGCACATAGCCAATCTTCTTGATCTTTCCTCTTTCGGTGGCCAGACTGTCCAGGAACGCTTTCTCATCCGTCTGTGGTAGGGCCTTGTCTTCGGCGCGCAGCTTCAGTAGGGGTTGGGGATCGAAGGCTGCATCGTATTCGACAGTCGTTGGCTGCGCCTCGCTCGCCTCATCGGTGCCGTTGAGCATAGCGTATATCCTGTTCTGGACAGATGCAGCTGCGTCAGCCTGCTGCTTGCGCAATGTCTGCAGTCGCTCCCGGACAATCTCCTGCGAGACGCGCCGCAGCTTCGCCTTGGCCTTCCACACGCGCAGACTCCGCAGCAACTGTTCCCAGTAGTCGTAATCGATTGGCTCGTCCGAGTCGAGCTTCTTCTTGACCTGCACCTCTAGCGTCTCTAGCTGTTCGAACGTCTTTGGGGAGAGCAGCTGATCGATGTCGGCGGCCACGGAGCTGGTGCCGCGGGCTTCGGACTTGGAGGATTTGGATTTGCGGCGGATGTCTTTGCAGATTGCTTTGAGAGACTGAGGGGTTAGCCATGCGTCATGTTCTAGGAAACAGTTACCTACATTCCAGTAGTCGCGATTACTCCTGCTCGTTTCGAGTGTGAGGTAATTCTCAATCTCCTTTTCCAGCTCTGCGAGATCTTCATTGTTGAGCCCCTCCAGCACACCTTCCGGATCGACTATGTCTAGCTCGTGATCTTCCACTTCCTCGTCCAGCATCGACTTCTCCGTGGGATCGATGAAGCGCAGCGTGACGGCCAGCCAGTCGATGGGTCTCGCACGCCCGCCCTTGACGCGTAGTGCCGCTTTTTTCTTGGCCTGCTGCAGCACGAAGCGGTCCTCGTCTGCCACCCACGCCTCCTCTGCCGCGTTCGTCGACCGTTTCGCAGGGTTGTCGTGTGCTCGTGAGTCGGCTGACCGCTTCGCTGGAATGGACGAAGACGGCGCGTTGCGCTGGGGAAGGCGATTGCGCTCGTTGCGCCATGGAGGCTCACGTGACGACATCTTTCACAATAGGCGGAATTTGTAGTATGGAGATGTGTTGTTGAGGTTTGGTCTGGCCGGCGCAGATCGCGAAATCTTTGGCCGAGGCTGGTGACGTACGGCTGCCTTCCGCGCGTGCAGGGATCTACTCCGTTTTGGGAACAGCCTTGGCGCGGTTGCCTTTCACTTGCGCCTCAGCTACGCTTCACGTGTCAGCTCAAACCCCACAAAGGTCGCGTGTGTCACGCGTCTGCGCTCATCTGCAAACATGCACTCCGTCACCTCATTCTCTCCAGGTTGACATGTCGTGTTGGCGCGTGCTGGAGCTCTCCGAGCAGCCCGACGGCAAGCAGATTCCCCAGCTACTCATCAAACCCGCCTTCGACCTGGACTCGTACACAGTTCATCTTACCGATCTCAGCAACATCTGGAGCGAAGAGCTAAACGTGGATGACATCGTCAAGCGGGCTGCATTGGAACAATCGCCAATTGAAGTCAGCAAACACGACGCGGCGCAGGTTGCCATCCTTCTCGAACATGTGAAGAAGCCCCTGCTGAGTGCGGAGGCTTCTGTATGTCGTGTCACGCGTAACGATACGGATGGCATCACCTTACACACCAGCATAGGCCTTCCGGAGCCTCTTGGTCGCTTGTCATGGAAATTCCACTTGAAGAAACGAACGTCTACAGACCTCAAGAACGAGCTCATCCTTCCGCTCCTTGTCTCCGCCCACATCCAGAATGAACGCATCGCCGGGCTCATCTCGACAATTGCTGCCAAAGACAAGGCAATCACTCGACTTGTGGACCAGTTCGACTCCCATGGCTTGGACTTGGCTGCCGCCTTCCCTAGCGCTGGTGGAATGAGGGCGGGACGAAAGAAAGTCAAACGTGAACAAGCGGAAAAGCACGTACCCGCTCTACGGGTTTTCCACGAGGAAGCATGGCGGCATGATACCGAGCAATTGAAAGACACAAACCTGACTACGCTAGGCTTGTTCCAGGAAGCACTGGCTCAGAGTACGCCCATAGTACCTTCGGAGTTGAAGTCGGGTGGTGTTGAGACTACATGGTGGACTGCGGTACCTACTCAGTTGAGCATGCCGAAAGCCCCAGTCAAGACCAAGGCCAAAACGCCTCCTGCAGCATCAAAGCCAGCCAAAACAGCTACGGATTCTGGTGATGAGACAGAAGAAGAGTTTGAGACTCATGTGAACTTCAAGGTAAGGGTGTGGAGCAGTACTGTAGTGCGCAAAGACTAAGACTTTCAGACACGCGAACTCGGCAAAAGGCCAACACAGACTCCGGCGCCATTACCGTCTTCGCCCCTCAACAAGGCCAGTGAGACGGAAGACGACAGTACTGAGGACGAGGAGGATCTGGATGCGCCTCCAAAGAGTCAGAGCCAGAGTCTAAGTTGGACTCCACAGAAGCCAACTCGTAAAAGGACGCCCACGCCGGAACCCCGTTCCTCGCCAAAAGTGACTACATCGACAACGCAGAAGCCAAAGGTCAGTAGCTTCCGAATAGGCGGGAAGTCGAAAAGAGCAACCGAGTCTCCTCCGCCATCGCCGCCAAAACCCATGGATGTAGAGCCAGAACCAGAGGCCCTACCGAGCAGGGAATCCGTACCTCCTTCTCAGCCCAGCCAAGCGACAACGCCAAAGAAGACCCGAAAGCCGTTCAGAATTGGTGGTAAGGGTAA